GTCCCTGCTTTCCATTCTTTTGGGTACCGACCTAGGAGTGAAACTGCAAGGTCACGTGGTAATTCTACGGTTGTTTTTGAGGAAACTCCATACTGTTTTCCAGAGCGCCTTCACTATTTTATGCTTCTACAAATGCACAACGGTTTCAATTTCTGTACTTCTTTGCCAACTCTTATTTCCTGTTTTGGGTAACAACGGCCATTGTAATGGGCGTGAAGTGCTATCTCTTTGTGGTGTTGATTCACATTTCACTCATGACTAATAATGTTGAGTTCATTTGGTGAGCTTATTGGCCATTTGTAATCATCTGGAGAAATACCTATGTCAGTCCTTTACCAACTTTTAAATTGGGCTGATTTTTGGTTCTTGTTGAATTGTAGGAACATTTCCTATGTTGTGGTTATTAGTCTCTTATCAGAGAGATGACTTACAAATATTTCCTCCTATTCTGTGGTTATCTTTTCACTCTTGACAGGGTCCTTTGATGCACAAAAGTTTAATTTTAATGAAGTTGATTCTTCCTTTTGCTGCCTGCATTTTGGGTGTCATATTTAAGAAACTACTGCCATGTCCAAGGTCATGATTATCTGCCTCTGTTGTCTCCTAAGAATTTTATAGTTTTAGCTCTTCTATCTAGGTCTTTGGTCCATCTCGCATTAATTTTTGTGATTCCTTCTTTGACCCACTGGTTTTTTAAAAGTATGTTAATTTCCACTTTTTTTTTTTTTTTTTTTGAGTTTTCCTGAATGTTCATACCCTAAAACCCCGTAATTTTGCACTTAAAAGTAGTATGTTAATTTCCACTTTTTTTTTTTTTTTTTGAGTTTTCCTGAATGTTCATACCCTAAAACCCAGTAATTTCGCACTTAAAAGTACATGCCCAACAGCTATGGCGGCAGAACTGCACCAGCAAAAGGCACGTGCACAACGTGTAATGTGGCTACTCACGGCCGGACACGAGTGGCTGGAGGAGTGGAGGCGAAAGCGGTCCTCTAACGACACAGTGCACAGCGGGACAGACGAACGAGCTCCACACCAGGAACGAATCCCACACATATTGAGCAGAAGAAGCCACCCCCCGCCCAAAACAGGTATTAAATGATTCCACCTATCTGAAGGTCAAACAACAGGCCAAACTAAACTATGTAACTAAGGCTGTGCGTTCCGCTAATTAAAACCGTAATTATAGTCAAAGGAGTCATCTCCACGAAAGTCCGTCAGTGGTTACCTTGGGGGAGAGGGCAGCGTGGCCGGGAGGACAGGGGCTGGCAATATTGTTTGCTGCTGCAGCTGGTTGTTTCACGGGCCCGTCAGCGAGTGTGTGCTTTTAGTGTGTGCTATACTACAGCGTAAAGGTAAACAAAGACATACAGTGGCCCTGAATCAGCAACGACCTTAAGCACAAAAGCAAAGGCAAATACTTTTCAACCCGTCTCGGAATTTTCAGAGTGTACCAAGTACATGGGCTCAACGTATGGGAGCAAAAAGTTTACAGAACACAGAAAGAAGGTGTCATCAGTGAGAGCCAGCAGCAATAAAAGACTTCCGGCTGACCCACAGCGCGGATACTAGATTTACATATGCAGAGTATGAAAAAGGCAAATCTATCAAACCTGATAAAAAATAAAAGAGAAGGCATAAATTAACATTAGTGCGGAGTTAATGCGGAGATTAACTCTATTCTAGGAAACCTTGATGCCAAAAATTTGTAAAGAAATGAAATGTATGAATTCCCTGTAACTTAACAAGTGATTTAAAAAAATATGAATAGTTCTCAAACATCTTTTAAAAATCAAATCAGTATTTTAAAATCTTAATGAAAACAACAGCTTGGAGGCTTCACCGCTGAGTTCTACTAAACACTCAAGGAATCAGTACTCTGAATCCAGGGTACAGCGCGATTACTCCCCAGTGTCGCTACAGGAAACTGGCCCTACTTTGAAACCAAAACCTGACAAAGACGGCGTAATAAATGATAGGTCGATGTAACCCAAGTATGGATTTTAAAAATTCCTAAGTATAGCAATATTAGCAAAACAAAGCAATAAAGAAACAAAACATCACGAACAGGTTGGATTTACTCAAGAAATGCAAGGCTGATATACACCGGAAAAAAGCACACACTACAATACATACAGGGAAATCCTGTCTCAATAGAAATAGAAAAAGAACTGATAAGACCCACCATTTGTGACGAGAGAGAAACCAAAGGCAAATTCCCACCTCCTGGTGAGAAAGGGAACTCCCTTGTCTGTTACCCAACGATATGCAAGAACCAATTAAATTTCTTTATGGCAAACACAAAAATTAGTTAAGACAGACACTATTTATCTCACTTAAAAATGAGCCGAAAACCACCCATTCCGAACCAGTCTCAGGGGACCGTGGTCAGTGCCATCCTGTGGCTACGCAGCTCCTGGGCCGACGGGCCCTCTCCACCCTGGGCCCGCCTGGGACAGTGGCCTCATCGGGCTCCTGGCTTCAGGACCAGGGTTAAGGACACTGCCAGCCCCGGCAGGCCCCCAGGAAGTGTGTGGTTACTCAGAGCCTCAGGTCTTGTGCGGGCCAAGATGCACTGTGTGGCCTCGTCACAGGGCTTGGGCTCGGGACCCTTCCCCAGAGGACTCTGGACCCAGAGTGCAGCTCAGGATTCCTTCCTGCTCCTGGACTCCTGGGCCTCAGCGCTGCCGGTTTTCATTTGCACTGGTCCAGGGGGCTGTCCCTCGGTGAATGCACGACGCAGGAGGGCAGCGACGTGGCCAGTTTCCCAATACCCACCAGAGCCGAGAGCGGTACCAGGAGCGCGGCAAACACACGTAAGCTTTTTACTGCCTGTTCCCTCTGACCATCTCCACAGAAGCCACCACCTCTTCTACCTCTGGGATCCACTCAATAGGCACAGAGAGGACAGAGGGAAAGGGTGAGCTCTGCCACCACCGACTCTGGGAACCCTAAGCCCTTCCGGTCTGCAGCCTGCTCGGCATACCACGCGCTCGTGGGTGGCTGGTGGGTGTGCCCTGCACTGCCCCGGGCCACACGGCAGCGAGCCCCTCGGCTGCCCTTGCCCCTGACGGCTGAGATGGTCTGCTCGCTTCAGAAGTCGGGGCCTTGTGCTTCTCCACAGAATGTGCAGGAATGGCCCCTGCTGAGTGACCCCCTCCCCCCGACACACAGGTAAACACCACACACAGGGCGGACGGAATCACACACCTTGGGCCAGAGGAAGAACTGACCCTAAAGAGTGAACGCACAAAAGACATGGTTCAAATTCCTTGTTTTATTTCCATCTGTAACACTAGCAGAGAATCCAAAATAGACTGACGTCCGTGGATACTTTAAATGTGACAAAGAAAGACCTGGACTATGTACAGGAGGGCTTTTTTTTCATATGAACCTCTTTCAATTTTGTAATTCCTAAAGAGTAGAAACTAAACATTTTCCCCCAATCTAACATGAAGAAATATAACTTTCATGATCAACCATTTGTCGTTAAGCATAAAACGTAAGAGATTTTGCCTGGCGGTCAGCTTGGCCCCTGAAGCCTGGGTACTG